CGCGGCGGAGCGCGGTGCGCCGGGGGTCTGTGCCGGGATCGCGCGCGCGGCGGGCGGGCGGGAACCTCCTGGGAGCTGAGCTCCGCGTGGGCAAGGGCGCAGTGTCCCCAGGAGAGAGTTTCCCTGCCCAAGTGTCCGAGCTGCGGTGCCCGGCTGGTACGTGAGCAAAGGGGCACTTGGGGACGCACGCCTGTCTAGGCGACTATACACTCAAGCGGGATGTTGGAGCACGTACTGTGTAGGAGCAGCAGCTCCTTGATCTGATGGGGAAGATAGATCTTCCATCCTGCCTCAGTTTCCTTAGCATGCAGTGAAAGGAAGAAGAGACAGAAAGTGTGCTAGCCGGTTTGAGTGTGCGTCTGGGGCAGGTCAGTTCCCTTTCAGGTTATTTCTTAAGCCCAGCAGGGATGGGGATAGGAGAAGGGCTTTTCTATTTCTCTGTGATGGACGTTGAACACCCGAGATTCAGACGAGGCAGGAGAGGGTGGGGAGAGGAGCAAGTACTTAGGTACCAGGTACTTCCTGCCCCACTTCTGGAGAGATTGTCACTTTATGAGAGTGGGTGGGAGTCCTGGGCTACAGTCTGGGGCCCAGGAAGTTACAGTGGGCCAGAGGTAGTTGGGAAGTACTGCGCGAGTGCATGGCTCCCTCTGGAACCCCAAAGACAAATAAGCATATTTTGTAAGGGAATCCCTAGATCTGGCCATGTGGGAGCTGGACTGACAGTCAGATAAAGGCCAGCAGAGATGGAGAGGGAGAAAAGAAGGGCCAGACTGACAGAGCCCAGGGAATATCATTCTTTCCCTGGCAGGACTGAAGGTAGCTTTTGGATGCTTTCTCCTCCCCACCCCGGCGGAGGCTGCCCTCAGCTTCTAGCCATTCCTGTTGGTCCTGTCCACCAGCTTTGAGCCTCCAGCATCCTGAAGGGTATGCCCTATGGCCCTATTACCCTCAAGCAGCTGTGTCTCATCCAGTCAGCCCTGGGCCGGTCCAGTCTAGGGGCAATACGGGAGGGAAAGACAGAGGACAGAGGTGCCAGCATGAGGCAGAGCTCACAGGACTTCAAAAATAACCCAAAGGGGCTGGGCCACGATTCTGAGTCATCCATTGGGGACATGGCTCTGTCTCTGTCGGCACCTGCTGCTGTTTTCTCGGGAAAACTTAAGAAGCCAAAAAGGGGGAGAAGCACCAGCCGGCAGTAGCTCTAAAAATAGGCTGCTTCTCAGGATGTTCCCCAGGGAGATGCTGAGCCTTTACACTGCAGATGGAGCCTCTGGGAGGCAGGTGGTGGGCGCCCGTGGGTGTGTGTGCAGGTGTGTGTGTGTATGGGGGTGTATGCATGGGCATGTGTTCTGCCGTGATCCCTTCGTGCAAACTTGGGTTTCCAATAGGAGATGTTTATGTGAGAGAATGTGTATGTGTGGGTCAGATATAGTTAGCAGGGCTGTGTGTGTGTAGACACATGCATATTTAGGACTTGGTGAGTGCAGGTCAGTGTACATATGAACATGTTCAGTATTGGGGCTTGAACTCAGGACCTAGGTGCTTTGCTCTTAGCTTTCCTCACTCAAGGCTAGCACTCTACTATCTGAGCCACAGTTCTATTTCCTGATTTTTTACTAATTAATTGGAGATGAGAGTACCATGGAATTTCCTGCCTGAGCTGTGTTCTAAACTCTAAAATCTCGCCTCCTGAGTACCTAGGATTATAGACGTGAGCCATTGATGCTTGGCTTTTGCTTTGTGTTTATACCAGTGCATGTGTATGCATGTGTACGTATTTGTGAGTAGCTTCAGTTCCCTTATCTGTGACATGGGTATCAAACTACTTTCCATTTTACAAGATGTCTATGAGGGGCAAATAAGTATGTGTTATAGAGCCAAAGCTAGGTTGATAGGAATTTTTGTTGTTATCACAGATCTCTAGTTTTTCCTAAGTTGCTCAAGGTACAGAAAGAGGTTAAATTCCTGTCAGGGTCATATAAGAGATTTTAGATGCCCATAGGCTTCCCTGAATGTGTGCTGGGAAGGGGGGTGGGTGGGAGGGTCTGGGGGAAGAGAGAACTCATTATCCAGAACAGCCTTTGAGGCTATAGTTGTGTTACATGCCCTTCCATGCAATTCCTCTCTGGGCTTCCTATCAGCACTAGGAGATTAGTTTTACTGAAGTCATTTCCCACACTCAGCATTTTCCACATCCCAGTATTGCTGGGATTAGAACTCAGTGTGACTCCTTGGGCATGTAACCATGCCCAAGGGGATAGTCTGAGTCCTTGTCTCCTCTCTACTTGCAGGCCCCTCACATTGGCACAAACTGTACCCCATTGCCCAGGGAGACCGCCAATCCCCCATCAATATCATATCTAGCCAGGCTGTGTACTCGCCCAACCTGCAGCCACTGGAACTTTCCTACGAGGCCTGCACGTCCCTCAGCATTTCCAACAATGGCCATTCTGTCCAGGTAGACTTCAATGACTGTGACGACAGAACGGGTAAGTGACTGCTGCCAAAGCCTGGCCCTGCTCCCCATCACCCAGGGTCCTTACCCTATATTGGGTGGGCTTAGGAACTCAGATTTGCTCCACTTCTCACCAGCTACCAAGCCTGAGGCTTAACCTTGAGTCTCCTTGTATATAATATGAAAGGAATAAGGTTGACTTTCTACAGTCAGAGAGAGACAATAAAAAATGAAGTGTTACCAAAGGCAGATCCTTCAGATATGCTAATTCCCTTCCTGCCCTTCAAATGGCCTTTGTTTTTCCTCCCTGCCCAGTGTGGCTGGCTGGTGGCATAGGAAAATTTCTCTTGCTCTTGGGGTCTGTTCTGGTTCTACAAGGAGAAAAGAGGGCTGAGACTTCTGTGTCAGACTCTCACATGGTGTATTTGGTCTTCTCAAAAACCCACCTCTCGGGCTAGGAAGGTGGCTCAGTGGTAGAGCTCTTGCCTTTCATGCATGAGGCCCTGGGTTCGATTCCTCAGCACCACATAAGCAAAAAAGAAAAAAAGCCAGAAGTGGCGCTGTGGCTCAAGTGGTAGAGCGCTAGCCTTGAGCTGAAGAGCTGAGGGACAGCGCCCAGGCCCAGAGTTCAGGCCCCACTACCGGAACCAAAAAAAAAACAAAACTCACCTCTCAGATGGGCTAATGGAGGTTCTGTGAGCTAGGGAAGGCCGTGGACTAGCTCAAATATCTCCCTCATCTTGACCGCTAGGTCTCTACTATCTTGGGCCACAGAGGGTCCATGGGAACTCATGCAATCTCCTTCCAAAGCCTCTTTAGAACTGGAGTTAAAGAACTCTCATGATAAATTTTTTTTTTTTGCCAGTCCTGGGGCTTGAACTCAAGGCCTAAACACTGTCCTTGAGCTTCTTCTCGTTCAAGGCTAGCGCTCTACCACTTGAGCCATAGTGTCACTTCTGGCTTTTTCTGTTAATGTGGTACTGAGGAATCGAACCCAGGGCTTCATGCATGCTAGGCAAACACTCTACCACTGAGCCACCTTCCCAGCCTCTCATGATAAATTCTTAAGCAGAAGCCTTGGGAGTGCTTTTTAGTGAAGGAATTTTTTGCCCATACAGCAGGCTGTGGGGGTGTGGAATGGGGTGAGAAGAGAAAGTGCTAGTGTTTCTTATGTAAGGAAGTGTCCGGTTCTTTGCTCTCCACTGCCCCCTCTACATACACAATAAAAAATACTCAGGAGTACCTAACTGTGAAATAGTAAGGAGAGTGGTCTTAGTTGCTTAGATGCCTGGTAGGCTAGGATAAAAGGGAAAGAACAACTATCATTCTTTCTGCATAAGGGAGGGCATCTAGCAGTCCTCTCAAAAGACATAAAAACATTTCCTGTACTAGATGCTGGTGGTTCATGCCTCTAAACCTAGCTACACAGGAAGCTGAGATCTGAGGAGCTCAGTTCAGAGCTAGCTCCGGCCTGAAAATTTGTGAAACTCCTATTTCCAATTAACTCCCAAAAAGCCAGAAGGAAGTCTGTGACTCGATCAGTCTGGGAGCCAGTAGAAAGAGGAAAATGAATGTGGTCCTGCCTAGTTGCTCTGGAAGTCAGATGATCTGCAGATCACCAAACACAGTGAATTCACAGTGAATGGTTGTGCATACTTGTAATCCCAGCTACTTGGGAGCCTGAAGAAGGAGGACCACCAGTTTAAGGTAAAGTTAGTGAGGCCCCGTCAGACCAAAGGGCTGAAGACATAGTTCAAGCAGTTGCCTAACTTATATGAGGACCTGGGTTTGATTCCTCCCAAATTAAACAACATAACCCCACAAGGACTAGCAGGGCACTCTGTGGTCAGAGGGAAGGAGGAGACAAGCCTAAGGGGTCAGAGGGTATTTCCCCTCTGAAACACCAACACCGTGTGGGTTCCTAGAAGAGACAAACTCAGAGAAGTGGATCAGGATATTCCCTTCTCCAGGGTGGGGCAGCCTGACTAGGGTCCTACCTACAGTCATAGGCCCAGACAGGGCCCTCTTTGTGGCCCAGACAGGCCCTGAAGCAGGGAAAGACAACAAAAAGTGATCTCCACACTGTGTTGTCCTCTTCCTCCTTGAGGCCTGTAGGGTGCAAGGCTCTGCCTTGGTCAGTTTCTATGGAGGGCCCAGTGGAGCTCTGACCTGGGGCCGTCACCTGATCCAAAGGCTCACATTCAGCCCTGACTGGGCCACTCCAGTGCAAGATCTCTTTCAGCTGGAAATTCTATCAGTCCCCAGAAGCCTTGTGTGTGGCCCCAGCTCACCAGGCTATCGAGGTGAGAAACTCACAAAGCTAACACAAATGGGACCCTCCAAAGAAGCTATTTGTGCAAGAGTTGGCCCCAAATTCACTTGGGCCTGGCTGGCAGAAAAGATAGGGACTCTCAAGAGCTCACCTGCTCTGGGACATTCAAGTTTTAGGGAGACAGGGTGGTCTGAAGATTAGGAGCTAAGTCTCTGTCTATAGGAGATACCAGTTCATAATGTAGCTCAGTGCCTTGCTGTGTGGCTAAGAGCAAATGCTTTTCCCTCTCAGTGCCTGTTTCTTCCTTTATAAAATAGGGATTAATAATAGATTCTGTCTCTTGTGGACTGCTGGGTGGACTATACAAAGTCATCCTTCCGCCCTCAGCCTGCTCAGGGTTCCAGCTGTGGGAGGCGGCCTGTTGTTATTGGTACCAGGGCTTCTGCAGGGAATTGGGCAAGAGGAGGAGGATGGCCCAATGGAGAGCTGCACTTCATCAGTCCCAGAAGCCTCTGCCACCTGCAGGCTGGGAGACTTTCTACACTGTCCCAGACGGTGGACTGTGGCAGCTGGTGGGACTGGCCCATGCTCTGTCAACCCACTGAATTTTCCACGTGAAAAATGTAGTTCCTTCCTGGGCTGCTGCCCAGGTCCTGGCACTGCCATCTGACAGGCTATGCATCCTTCCACACATCCCTTTTGCCCACAGCAGTGTCTGGGGGCCCCCTGAAGGGGCCCTACCGGCTCAAGCAGTTTCATTTCCACTGGGGCAAGAGACGCGATGTGGGCTCGGAGCACACGGTGGATGGCAAGTCATTTCCAAGCGAGGTAAGGAACCCTCCCCGCATCCCTCTGCTGCCTGGGGAAGGAGCGCAGACCTGTGGGCAGAGGCTCCAGGTCATCCAGGGAGGGGCTTGGAAGAGCATGAGACGGCCAGGGGGCCTTCACTCTGTCCTGGATTGTGCATCCAGGACTTTCTGGAAGGGCCTATTCCATTCCCTCTCACATACCCTGCTTGGCAACCCTTCAGGAGCTGAGTCTGCAGTCAAGGCCTGGCCTTGCCTGGCCTCCTGTTCCTCTTCCCTCTTGCTTTACTGAGCAGCACGTGACACATCCTTTGCCCACACCTGGCTTCTTCATGCCTTCAAGGTTTCGCCTATGCTGTTCCCTTTGCCTGGAATGCCTTTCCCCAAGCATCTGCTTACTCTTGGGACTTAGCTGCAGTTTTCCCCTCGCCCCTTCTCCTACTGGAGAGCCATCAGTGTCACAGCTAGTTTACTGCGGAGCAGAGCCAGAGCCAGATTCCTCTGTGGGTTCCTAGAGGCTCTAAAACAGAGTCGGACCCAGATCAGGACATGCTACCTGTGGCTATCAAGGGGGGCTCCCCTAGGTCCCCCCCCCAGGATCTTGAGTCCAGGCCTGCCCCATTCTTGACCTCCCAGCTACATCTGGTTCACTGGAATGCCAAGAAATACAGCACCTTTGGTGAGGCGGCCTCGGCCCCCGATGGCCTGGCTGTGGTCGGGGTCTTCCTAGAGGTGAGTGGTGGGTATCCCTGGGGCCCAGAAGGACAAGGGAGGTCTGGAAAAGCCCTTGTTCAAGATTCAGGGTGCTGGGCTCACACTAGCTTCTCCCTGACAGACAGGGGATGAGCACCCCAGCATGAACCGTCTAACAGATGCACTCTACATGGTTCGGTTTAAGGTAAGTCCAAGGGTCCCTGCATCTCCCCACCTCCCCGATCTCCAATGCAGAGCAGCTCAGTGGGAAAGGAGGAAGAGGATAGCTCACAGAATGAGCCCATTCACTTCTCCGAGTTGGTAATAACCCTAAGTTGAGACCCACGGTGAACATCAGCCCCTCAGGGCCATCCACTGTCCCTCAGGTACCCACCATGCAACAGGGCAGAGCATGGATAGGATTCACTACATATGTTGGTCCACCAAGCAGTGAGAAAGGCAGCCAAAGAGAAGAGAACACACACGGTGACCAGAGTACCCTCTGCACCACAGCTTTACATATTAACACACAGTTGCAGAGGGCTCAGCCTAAGCTAGGAAGGTATGGCACCTGGGGTCATGTCATTTGCCTATAAATTTGCATCAGTGAACCAAGAAGAAACTTAAATCCCACTGGTGGTCATGGGTGCTCGACTGGTCCTAGCAGGAAGTCTGTGCTGATATTTGTGTCCACATCCTGTCCAGGGCACCAAAGCGCAGTTCAGCTGCTTCAACCCCAAGAGTCTCCTGCCTGTCAGCCGGCAGTATTGGACCTACCCAGGCTCCCTGACCACACCCCCTCTCAGTGAGAGTGTCACCTGGATTGTGCTCCGAGAGCCCATCAGCATCTCTGAGAAGCAGGTGAGTCTAGGGTCCAGTGAGTTAGCAACCCACAGTCTGGGCCCCCCATCAAGGCTCCCATCTTTAGCACCCCCCTGCCATATTAGAGCTTAAACTCAGGGCCTTCTGCTAATCAGATGCTCTTATCACTTGAGCTATGGCCCAGACCTTTTGTTTTTCATTTGCTTTTTGGCTAGGATCTCTGACTTTTATCCAGGCAGGCCTCAGACTGAGATCTTCCTATTTCAGATTCTTGCATAGCTAGAGTTACAGGCATGTACCATCACTTCTGGCTACATTTTTTTTCCCCCAGTCCTAAGGCTTGACCTCAAAGCCTGGGCACTGTCCATGAGCTTCTTTTGCTCCAGGCTAGCATTCTATCACTTGAGCCATAGTGCTACTTCTGGCCTTTCTCTATTTATGTGGCACTGAGGAATCGAACCCAGGGCTTCATGTATGCTAGGCAAGTACTCTACCACTAAGCCACATTCCCAGTCTTTGGCTACATTTGAATCCTTGGTTAGAGTCAGCTTGGGTTTTAGTCATGTGGGCAATGAGGGCCCAGACACAGGAGGGAAGGGAACAGCCTGGATCCTGGGATCAACCCCTGCCATATTGCCCTCAGAATGCTTCCTTTCCCTAAATACTTTAACTACACTACACAGGGCTAGAACTAGAACCAGGTGAAGCAGCTCCAGGTTCACAGACCCTTTAGGGAAGGAGTAATTGACTAAAATCTGGGTCTCAAGAAGAGAAAAAGTGGGAGTAATGAGGCCCAGGGACAGATAGAAAGAAGGGTAGAACTGGCTGGACAGGGGTTTACCAGATGATAAATCTGGCTTCCTAGAGATCCAGTGCAGTGTCTTCCCTGAGCATCTTTTCTGTCTTCTCAAGATGGAGAAGTTCCGGAGCTTGCTTTTTACCTCAGAGGATGATGAGAGGATCCACATGGTGAACAACTTCCGGCCACCACAGCCACTGAAGGGCCGGGTGGTCAAAGCCTCCTTCCGGGCCTGACCTGCTCACCTGCCCAGCTGGCCACACGGGCGCCATCTTCCCAAGGGCTTCCATGTCAGCAGATACCAAACCATCTGAGGCTCTCTGCCTGGGGGGGGGTCCTGTGCTCCCCCCCCCTCTTCAGCTGCCCACCCTCAAGGGTTCTTGTTGGGATCCGCAGTGGGGAGGTACTGTTCAGCTGCCCTGGGTGGGGGGAAAGCAGAAGAATAGGAGCCACACAGGGTCCAAGCTTGGGGCTGCTGCTGCTCTCCAAGACCCAAAGCCACCTGGGAACCATTTCTTGTCTTCCCCCACTGGCAGTGGCAGCGGCCCCACCCTGAGCTCACACTGTGATGGATGAGACCGAGCTCCTGGGATAGGCAGTTGGCACTGCCAGAGAGACTCAAGCAATAATCCAAGGCAGGCTGAGCTGCCTCTCAGCATTACCTCCTCCTCAGGCCTCTGCCACTTCACTGCCAGGCCACTCAAATAGCCCCTGGCTGCTGCAGGTGACATGGCCTTCTCCCTCCAGCCACATGCTGCCAGGGGCAGGTCCTGGCTGCAGCTTATATACTATCTCCCTGAATCCCAACCCAGCCACCAAAGCCATCTACATGACAATCTATCCATGTGTTAATAAATAAAGTCATTTATCCATGCAACAAATACCAGCTGAGTGTCTATGCTTTGTCCAGTACTGTTCTGGGGTTCGAGGTGGAGGGCTGCTGTTGCTGGCAGTAGGTCCAGCACACTTGGTAGGAGCTGAGGACTGGAGGGGGAAGGGGAGATGAAGTCATAGGCTAAGAAGGGAGCATTCTTCTCTTTGGGAGAAGAATGAAATTCCAGCTAGTATTCCAAGACCAGAACAACAGAGGGAAAGGCAGATGTGAAGCTCAGAGGTAAAAACTTGGTATGATTGTGAGGCTGAAAAGGATCAATGGGCCCAAAGCCCTGGAATAGGGCCTGGGACTATCTCTTGTGCTCATGGTGAGCCATGGAAGGTAAGAGCAGGGCTCAGCTGGTAGATGGGTAAGATCCTTGGTGGCTGGTGGCTAGGAAGGCAAGGGCAGAGGGGTGGGGGAAACAAGGAGTAGGGGAGAGAGGTTTGGAGATGCAGCTAAGAGAAAGATAGAGAATATCTAGGTGTGTCCTTGGGCCTTATGGGCTGGGAACCTTAAGAGGAACTAACCACATTGGACCTAGCATTTCCCAGTCCCAGAAGGAAACTTTAATCTAGTCTCACATTCTGTAACTTATACAACCCTGAGAGTGAGTGCCTCCTTAAACTTTCATCCAAGTACCTGGCTGGCCTCTTCCCTAGTCAAGCTACCTACTGGGTTTCAAAACCCGGATGGGACAGGGACAGGAGGCAGTGAGAAGAACAAGGAAGGAGGAGAGGGGACAGTAATGTGCAAGTTTTGTGGTGGTAGGGAGGGATATCTGGGGAGGGGGGAGATGGGCAGAAGTGTGTCTGAACACCCTTGGGAAGTAGGCTGATGTCAGGGCTGGCAGGGCTGATGAGACGTGAAACCCACTCATTAGGGCTGTAACTTCTGTCATCCTGTCACTGTCACTAGGCCAGTAGGGTACTCCCAAGGGTTTCTCTAGGCCTTAGGCTTCTAGCTTTGCCCTTCTGGATGGTAGAGGAGTGAGATGTGCTATGTTGATTCTTTACCCCTGTCACTCCCATGCTCCAGGCAAACCAGTGGGAGTGGGAGGTGGGAGGGGGCAGCAAAGGCTGCTCCGACAAAGGTGACACAGAGCCGAGTACAACTTTGCCTGTGATTTCACAGCTTCCTTCTCCCTCCAGGCTTCTGAAACATGCAAAGGGAGTGGCAGGTTTCTGGAGGACAGACTGGTGGGGGAAGGAGGCCAGAAGCAATGCTAGCAATGTAAACTTCCAAAGGCCAGCAAAGGGCCTAGGGCAGATGTCCAGATGTCCTTGTGATCCAGGAACTGTCATTACTCCCATTTGACAGATTGGGAGAATGAGGCACAGATTGGTTATGGAGGTGAAGAGCAGGAATTGAACCAAATCGGCTTGACTGCTCTCCTGCTCTCTAACCAGCACATCTGGCCACTTAGGGGGAGAGAGGGCATTGATGGTGGCCACCTAGGGGTGGGTGCTTCTGGGTATGCCAGGGACTTTACCCAGCCCCTCCTAAAGATGGTGGCACCGCGGACCTGGCACTGAAGAGGACTTGGAAAATGGGAGGTGATTTTATAATTATCCTGAGATGGCCAAAGAAAGTCTCACTCCCTAAGTTCTTTCCTTTAATTCACTTCTTAAATTTGAAACTATTTTAAAACCCAAAGTGGCCTCCTTACGTTCTAATCACAGCCCAAGATTTGACCCTATTCTACCCAAAGGGGTTGTCCCTGCTGGATCCCAAATAGCTCCAGCAAGCCTGGCCTCTAGGAACCAGGATTGAAGGACCTTGTGCCCAGTATGTGTTTGCTTGTCCCCAAGATGCTCTTTCCTGTGCATTTGGTGGTGGCCCTGGGCCAGAGGCACAGGCATAAAACCTCCTGAAAGCCACGTTGGTGACAACAAAGCAAAGGTCCCTAAGGAGCTCCTACTCAGAGGACTGCTCTCACCGCTGTGATTTGACAGCCTGAAGGCTTCTTCCTATGGACATTCACTCCCTGGATGCTTATGGAGGAGGCTGCTGCAGAGTCTCTGCCTTGGGAGACCACAGCTGATTGCCATGTTACAGCTGTAGTTGGGGAAGAACATGAGACAATAATACCTTTCTGAACATGTCCATCCCTTTTGGGCTCTTTTCTGTCAGATAGCGAAGGTACACATTGCAGGACATGGTACTCAAGACTTCTGAAGTGTATTTCTTCCTCTGAAAAATGGAAATGAATTCCACCTATGGTTTAAACTTTTCCAATAACTGTAAAAAATATGAAATAGGAGCTGGAGCATAATATCACATGCCTATAATCCCACCTACTAGGGAGGCTGAGGAAAAAGAAGTCTGGCACTGGTGGCTTGCGCCTATAATCTTAGCTGCTCAGGAGGCTGGGGTTACAGTTCAAAGCCAGCCTAGGCAGAAAAGTTGATCCGACCCCTATCTCCAATTAACCACCAAAAAGCTGGAAGTGGCTCAAGTGGCAGCTCATCAGCTTTGAGGAGAAAAAAATTAAGCAAAAGCACAAGACCCTGAGTTCCAGCCTTGAGCACAAATGCTCAAGGACAATGCCCAGGTCCAGAGTTCAAGCCCCAGGACCAGGGGAAAAAAAAAAAAAAGAAGGCTGGACTACTTGATGCCAAGTTGGCTCCCTAGGCCTGGCCTTTTTCCTCCAGGAAATATTGCCATCCCTTCACTTCCCTCCAACTCTGCAGGACTTTGGCTATCCCATTGGGACAAAGGCCAAGACTGTAGGTAAGGAACTGACCACGGGAGGCTGTCAGGAAAGAGTCCTGCTGGGTTCAGAAGACTTGATTAGTCTGGGAGGGCTCCCTGGAGGAGAGGACCAGAGCAAAGTAGCTGGCATCCCAGGAAAGAGACAGAAGCCTCAGCTGCGGGGGAGCTTGTACCAGACGGTGAGCCAGGAAGGACTGGCTGCCACGTGCCCAGTACATGTTCACTGAGACGGGTTACCAGCTGGGGTCTCCGGAGCTCTGGAGACTTCCAACACTGGGCAGAGGTTTACCTTTTCATGCAAAGACCATGAGAGGTCCAGGAGAGCTAAGCAGACATAAAGGCTCCCAGCTTGAAGGAAGCCGATCTTTCCAGAAGCTCAAGAAGCTCCAGACATCCCTTGGCCCACATCTCCCTTGTAATAGGGGACTTGACTGCAAATTCTGACAGATGCCAGCTTTGGCTGCCCCTGCAGGATGGATTCATGCCTGGGCCCTGGAAGTTTCCAGTTTGACAGTCTGAGTCTAATCTCAATCCCTCCAGCTGTATCCCAGCTGTTTGTTTTTTTTTCTCCAGGACTAAGGGAGGGTCAGTCAGTGCCTCCTTTATTCCAACCCAGATGCACTCTGTGAGGAAGGCCTATGGGTACATCGTTGAACTTGGGGTTCTTTCTGGTTCTACAGAGAGAACCTCATGTATCCGAAATATCCCTTTGCTGTGGGCTGGGAAGGTGGCTCAGTGGTAGAGCGCTTGCCTTGCATGCCTGAGGCCCTGGGTTTGATTCCTCAGCACCACATAAGCAAAAAGAAAGAAAAAAGCCATAAGTGGCACTGTGGCTCAAGTGGTAGAGTGCTAGCCTTTAGCTGAAGAGCTGAGGGACAGCACCCAGGCCCAGAGTTCAGGCCCACAACCTGATCCCCTCCTGCCCTCCCAAAAAGAAATAATCCCTTTGCTCCAAATAATTCTGTGTGACTGGGCTCTAGGTCTCAGTTTCCCAATTTGTCAAATATGTCAGTGGGAGGCTATAAAGCAGATTTTCTAGACAGAGGCAAACTTAGGACTGAGCTGGAGGAAACAAACAGCTTGGGTCCTAGCTACCGCATACCCCTTTGAGCCTTCCCCCCCAAACTAAAAAGGACCATGATGCTGGGGGAACTCATAGGCGCTTATAACTGGAAGAACCACAGAGACCTCTAGACCTTCGGCCATCACTGAAAGAGGAGAGCTGGGCCTAATTTCCCACCAGCTTCATCCACTGGGGGCTCTGAGCTAGAGCAAATGGATTTACGGAAAATAAAGGCGGTCTATGTTTTTCATATATTCAGATCCGGGAACTATGACCCGATGGACAAGGTCTGCACTTTCAGAGAACTCAGTGCCTGGAAATCACGTCTCTCCTCCGACGACAAAGCTCTAATGGGGTTATTTCAGACAGGGGCAGGTGAGCTGAAAAGATATTTTGGGGACAGCCAAGGCTTTGAAGATCTGGCCCCAGCATTAAATCCAGAAGTCTGTGGTTTCTGGGGGGCAATGCAAAGGACCTGAAGGGGAGCGTCTCACCCCTCTGCATCTTGGGTACAGAGCTATGCAAATGTCATTTGGTCCAGGCTAGGGGGTAGAGACTTCAGTGCCAACCTAACTGCTATAATTGGCACCTGTGGCAGTTCTGAAAACTCGTGGGGGACCCAGGTTAGGCATCAGAAGCCAGTTTTACAGTCTCTGGGGCACCTGCCTCCAGCCGATCCCCCTGAGGTCAGAGGTCATGCTGGAATAATGTTCGAAAGGTCCATGTGGGTTGTTCTAACAGGGGAGCAGCCTTGCTCCATTTTATCTGCAAGCACGGAAGCACTAAGTTGTTGCAGCTGAAATTCATGGTGAATTTTAGAAAACTCCAGTGAGCACATCCAAGGAAGGTAGATTGCTCTTTGTGTTTGCTATGGCTTGTCCCTATCAAAGAGTAGATTTGGGTTTTTTGGTTGTTTGGTTTGTTTTCTTTTGAGATGAAGTAGCCCAGATTGGCCTCCAACTCACAATCCTCCTTCCTCGGTCTCCTGAGTGCTGGGATTACAGGTGTGACCACCTCTTTTTGTGGTGGCTTTTTGTTTTAGTTTGCATTTGTTTGTTTGTTTTTGTTGCTACCAGAGTTTGAACTCACCTCAAACTTGCTTAGCTTGCTTCCAGCTGGCATTCTACTATTTGAGCCAGGCC